TTTCTTTTCTAATCTCATCATATTGTTTATTCGATAGAGTAATTAAGGTTTTAGCACGTAAATCATTTAATTCTTTTCATTGATTTTCGCTTAAACTACTTCTATTTATTTCTCTAAACCAATATCTATCAACTTCCAAGTTTGTAATATTAGTTTATTTAAGTATACCATTTTTTATTCACTGATAATCAGATTGTTGCAATTGTTCTAATAAAATTCTAATATGTTCTTCATGTATTTTATGAAGATTTAATTTTTCTTCGTTTGTGAATCGAGAATTATTAATTTTAGTTATCCAAAACCCTCGTAATCTATATAAATCTGTTTTATTTTGAATTTGTTCTACAAATAAATTATATTTTGCCAAATATTCTGTCCAAAATTCCAATCTAGCTAATCTTAATTCATTCAATCGATTTTGTTGTTGTGTAAATAATAACTCCTCAAGTATTTTTCGATACCAGAATTGAAATTTACGTAATCTTTCTATATTTTCTAATGTTTCATTTTCAATTTCATTTTTTATTTCATTAAATCTTATCACACGTCGTATTTGTTCAGCTTGTAACTCTTGTAATTGTTGTTTTTGTATATCTGTTAAATTTGAAATTTGAATTTTTAAATCTAATTCTCCACCATCTTTCAATAACTCTAATTCAAAAGTTGATAAAATTTGATCACGTATTTTTTGAAATTCATCAATATTTGGTGGATTATTTTGTAAAATATTTAACATTTTAATTAAAAAATAGTTATAAAATTCATTATCTTTTATTTTATTATTTAATTTAATAATTTGTTTTTTATAACAACAATCTTTATAGGCTTTTGAATCAACTTTACATTTACAATCAAATGACATATTTAAATTTATTTATTAATATTAAAGAAAAAATCTGATATTTATAAAAAAAAATAAAAATAAAAAAAATAAACAAATAAAATATAATCTATTTTTTGCAACATTTTTAAACAAGTAAAAATAGATTTTCTATAGAACTAGCTGTTTCAAAATTGGGTTTCCATGATGTTTCCACATATCCACCATGCAAAAAGAATGGAATACCTGATCTAGCTTTTATTGAACTAAAATTTTCACCGAAAAATAAAAAATCCTTATCCCTATTTTCTTGTTTAAATTTATAAAACATGTTGCAATAATCTACGAAACCAACTAAAGCAAAATTCTCCTGATTAAAAATCTTAACATCATTTTGATCATTTTCTAATAAACAAGCTTTTAACTTATTAAGATTTAAACATAAATTTATCTCATGATCTTGTCCACATTCTACTTTTAATTCAGTTTCTAAATGTGGTGTTATATATTCGCGAAACTGTATATTCTGAATATCTCTATCTAAAATAATATCTCCAATTGAAGGATCTGTTTGAATAGCGACATCTCGATCACAAATTTCAATAATAAAAATTTTTAATATCAATGATTCTATAAGCGGTGTTATATATCTACTTTCACTTTTTTCAATAGGTAATTGAATTCTTCTTTCTTTATCTTGATTATGATAAGTTGTCAACTTCAATTGAATAGCTATATCATGTAATTCAAGATTAGTTTGTTTTGTATTAATTTTTTGAAATAAATATATATATATTAATCTTTGTTTAGACACTTGAAAATAAATATTTTGTTTTGTATCTTCACTGTTTTCAATGATTTCATTTTGAGGACTGAATTGGTACTCTGTATTAATAGAAAGACCATATTCTCTTTTATTGCGACAAATATTTAATTTTCTATCATCATTACAAAAACCAACAACACACGAATCAACTTTTGTTAAAATTTTTGATACTATCATGGTGTTTAATAAATTTTTATTAAAAATAAAGAGAAAAATATTATATTTATAGAAAAATAAAAAAAAAACTAAAAAAAAATAAATATTAAAAATAAATCTATTTTATTTCTCACAACAATCTTGATCAAATTGCATTATAGCATTTAATGTTGAAGCATGTCTTAAATCTGGTAAATATACTAATTCTATATATCCACCACTAAAAAACCCAGGAATTCCTGAATTACCAGTCTTTTCATTAAAAGCAACACCAAGAGGACCTATAATATTTGGATTATTGTTTGACAATATTTTTTTAAATTGATACATCCAATCCATATAATCTAAAATAACAACCATCGCATAATTTTCTTTATCAAATACACGTGCTTGATTATCTTCTTCAGACAATACACAAACACGTAAACGATTTAAATCCAAACATAATATAACTTTATCAAATTCAAATTGACAACTTGAACAATCAATTATTATCTCATTTTCTAAATGAACTGTTATAGATTTTCTAAATTGAATATGTTGAAGATTAAAATCTACTAAAATATTATTTAAAGTTACAGCTTGTTTCTTTGCTAAATCAATATCACATATTTCTATAACATACGCTTTTACTTTTAAAGGTCCTAATAAAGATGTAATAACCTGATTACCTTTTGTAACAGGTATATTGATTGTACTTCCTTGCACTCTATTATGATATGATATAATTTTTAAATGTATTAATATATCTTGTAATTCAAAATTTTTAAAATTACTTTTTTCTTGAAACAATCTATGGTAAAATAATCTATTCCATAAAGTATCAAAATAAAAAGTTCTTTCGTCAACTTTACGTGCACCTAATACAACTCTTTCAACTTGAGTTCCCATTCTTCGTCTAAATCTACATGTGTTTAAATGTTCTTCATCTCCACAAAATCCTATATTACATGTTTCTAAAATTCTTTTATTTGTTGTTGGCAGATTTCTTTTTCTTTTTACTATTTCAATTTTTTTTTTGATTTATTTTTTCTTATAGAAGCCATTTAACAAGCGATTACACTTTGTGCAACTTTTCTTTTTTCTAATAATTTTTTTTATTGGAGATTTTCTTTTTGGTTTATTTGTAGTAAATAGTTTTTTCTTTTTAACAATTTTAGTTTTTCTAATTAGTGCCAGTTTGTAAATATGAATCTATGAATGTTACTAATTGTGTTAAGATAGTTTGTGCTGATTTTATTAAAAAATCTTTAATTAATGTAATAAAATATGTTATATAATAAATTAGATTTAATATATATAATAACAATTGTATAAATTAAAATTAATAATAGGATTATGTATAAGAAATATGTTGCTAATTCTAATATTAATCGTAATCTATTATATTGTTCACAAAATTCTAAAGAAGGTTTTATTTTAATTTTTTAAAAAAAAGAATCAATCTATTTATATATTTTAAGAATTATTTTTAGGATTCTCAGGACTTGTTTTCCATCTAGTACCAATTACTCTCAATATCTGGTTATGTTCATAATCATCTTTAAGTTCAGGATATTCTTTTTTAATAAAATTATTATACGGAGTTGGACTTTTTTTTGTTTTTTTCTTTAGTAATTTTTTATTATCATCATTTTCACTTTCACTTTCTTTATTATTTAAAATAGATGAGATTGAATTTTCTATATATTTTCATTTTTTACTAACATTCTTCGGTGTTTCGTAAATTATATTAGCAACATATTCAATATTTTTTAAATTCTCTATCAAGTATTCAGGGTCTTCTCTTGATAATTTCTTAATAAGTTCCTTTTTAGATTTTGAACTAGTTATAATTTCTTGAAGAAATATTTTTTTATTAACTTTTATATTAACAAATAATAAAAATAAAATATAATTTATTTAAAGATTATATAAGTTAAAAATCATATTTATATTTAATTTCTTCTTGATTTTCAAAATCTTGTTCTTTTATATCATTATTTTTCAAAAAAGAATATGTCGACATTTCTTGTTCTTCTGATTTTATTGTATTGCCTGTTCTACCAACTTCACTTATTTTCTTTGCTACTTTTTCCATCGCTTCAAACAACACTCCTGATTTTACATCTTTATTATTTGGATCTGGGTTTGTGATTTTAAGATGTTCAAAAATTCTAACCCAAACTATTCTTTGACATTCTAATACATCTTCAAGTGATGGAGAAGGAGTTGGTAATGGAGCATTAGGATCATCTGGTAGATTTCCTTCACTACCACTAATTTGTGAACGTAAATACGCAATTAATCTTCTAATACGATTTACTTCACCAGACGCTGATTTAAGTATCAAAGGAGGCTGTATTGGCGGTTTTGGTGTTGATGATGACATTTTAGAAAAAAAATAATAATTTATATTTAAATATAAAACCACCCTATTTATATAAATTATTTATTTAATTCAAAAAAAAAAAAAATGAAATTATTATTTTTCTTTTTAATTATTCTTTTTATACAAATTTCTCATCAAACATGACCTAAAGCTCAAAAAGGAGGATCCTTTTATTCTCCTTTGCTTGTAAATATTTTAGTAAATAAATGTTTACCAAAACTATTTATATGGGATTATTATTCAAATTTTTATAAACCTATCTTAAAAAAAACAGACAAATTACCAATCTTTATAACGGTGGTATTTTTTTAGAAAGATTTGTTAGAAGTAAAACAAGCCCTATTTATAAACCAGTACATAAAGCAAAAGAACCTAAAAAAATTAAACAAAGAAAAAATAGATAAAAAAAATAAATATCTTCTATAAGTGGTGAAATAAATCGTATTAATCAAAAAATAACTAATTTAAATGATAAAAACACTTTTTTACAAACAGAAAATGATCAATTAATCAATGATAATGATACTTTAAAACAAGAAACAAGACAATTACAATTGCATATACAGAATTTAAGACAAGATAATACTGAATTAAGCGATATTATTAACCAATCAAATATTTACACTGAAAGAATACTTAATAATCTTAACATTTATTTTAATAATAACGATACTTTATTAGAAAGATTACAAAAAATTGTAACAGCTACAGATAAATAATTATTCATTTATAATAAAATATAATATAAAAATTAAAATTACAATATGTTTTTTGTTTTGTTTATACGTTGATATGAGGTTCCTAAATCGCTAATTCGGCTACACCCCAAGCTCGCCTCATATCGTAGTAATAAACGTCACAAAAAACACTGTCTATCTGATATTTATTATATCCTTGTTGTCTGGTCGCTGCCGCTAGGTCTTTTGCAAGCAAAAGCAGCTTATCAACAACTTTGACTATGATATAGTCAGACGCCAAATGCTTATAAATTGGTTACAGTAAAACTGTAACCAATTAAACACTATTTGTTTTTGACATATCTCATAAAGTTGATTAATATAAATTTCATTTATTTTAATTAGATAAAATAAAAAATATAAATATTTAGATTGTAATTATATTTTGTTTTAAGTTTATTTTTAAAATATATTTAAATTGAATAACCATTACAATTTCTAGTAATTTTATCTATTTTATATTTAAATTCTATTGTTTTTTTGATTTGTTTTAAAAGTTTTTTTTTACATTTATTATTTTCAAACCATTTAAATTTCCAAACTTTTTTGTTTTTATTAAAACTAATACCATTATACCCAGAAGTATTGTTTTTTGATAATTTACAATTTAATACATTTTGATGAAATGTAGTTTTATGTAAATTTATATCATGGTTATCAAGCCTAGAACGATTAATATGATCTATTATAGACCATTCTGGATGGATTATTTGATGAAATTGAATTTTTTTATTTTTAATTTGTGTTTGAATATAAAAAGTATTTCTATCTTTATGTGAATGCCAAGTGTAATTTTGAATTAAATTAAAATATTTGAGATCAGTTAAAAAAAATATATTCTCTTTAATTTTAACTTCAAGATAAAGCTTGAAATTGATTTTAACAAGACGATATTCATTAAGTTTGTGATTTGGTTTATCGAGATTTGTATATCTTTCCCAATCAGTAATTACTTTGAAATTCTCAAATTTTTCTTTCCAATCCATCTTTAATTAAAAAAAATAAACATTCTTGCAGAATAACCAGCATGAGCAGACCAGACAACAAGGATATAATAAATATCAGGTAGACAAAGAGAGAGTCAATATTTGAAATGAAAACGAATGACAAGACAAAATATTAGTTTGGTGAACTACTCTCACCTTGTAATTTTTTTTAAAAATATATATATTTTAATAATAATAGGAAAAATATATTGTTTATATAGTTTTTGATGTATGTAGTACAATTATTAATTTGGTTAATAAAATACATGTTCAATAATATATGAGTGATTTTGAAATTTTGTTATCTTTGTTATGATAATGAAAGAAGAATCTATTTTTTCTACTGTAAAATTATATGAAAATTCTGAAGCTGTTTTTATTTTAAGCTTGTTATGTCTTCTTTGAAACGATAATATTTTGTTAAATGCTTGTTGATTGAATTCATTTTCTTTTAAATATGATATCAATATTGTTGTTTGTTGCATCGTGTTGTAATATTTTATCAATTGATTATATATCTCACATGTGAGAATATTATAATCAAATTTTATATATTTCATTTTAAGAGCATTTCCAGACAAAATCGTTTAAAAATTCAACTACTGAATTTTTTAGACAAATATCAAAACAATCTTTACAAAGTGTATGCTTATGAGTATATGTTGGTTGAATCTGGTTTATAAACATAAATCCATAACTAATTAAATTTAAATCTCTGAAGTTTATAGGTGGATTCACCACATTTATATTCATACATGTTTCAATAAAGCAGCAATTATTATTAACTATAGTATTTTCACAACAAAATTTATGTCTACTGCATTTGTTACATTTACGTTTTCCAAGTTCCGATACATCATTTACATGTTTAAGATAAAGATTATTTTGGTTCCAAAAAGTTTCTAAAGGTTTACAATAAAAAATACCATCTTTGTTTCTAAATATTCTTTTATGAATATTTTCTTTCTTGTTTTTGATACATGGAATTCTTTTTTTCTCGCAATATATACAAACTTTTTAAGGATCACATATTAAACCATGTTGTTTATATTTATTACAATGTTGGTTGTTTTTATCAAAAATTATCTTTCCATGTATATAATTTTCATTTGTTATTTTTTCTTTATCTATTTTTTTTTTAAATTCAATGTGTTTGAATTCATATTGAAATGGTTCTTTGATGAAAAAATGTTTTGGATTGTATTCAACAAATTTGTAATATTTTGGATCTTGTATAATATTTTGATAATTTTTGTATATTCGTTCACATGTTAAACCAAAATTATATTGTTCTTTTTGTGTATTCATATATTTAAGTATTATGTAAATTAGTTCATTTGATAATATTAAAATATTAACCATTTTCGTTTGTAAGAATAAAAAAAGAAATAAGTTGTATTTATTAAAAAAATATGTTACACAATATAGAATTATTTTTTTATTTTTTTTGAAGATGATTCATTTTTATCATCTAAATTATGTTTTTTTATTTTCTATTTGAAAATAATATGAAATTTTCTGTTGCTTTTTTATTTTCGATTCAGATAAATCTTCACTCTTTCTTTTTAGTATATTATCAGTTATTAAATATTGTTGTTTTTCATTAATTTTAGAGGATTCTGCTATATTGTTTGATGTAGTTATTGAAAAAAAATTTGTTATTAAATTTTGTTTTTTCATTTCATTTTCTTCAAATATCTAATCAATGAGTTTTTTTGCTTTCTTTTCATTACATCTTAAAAGAGATGTGCATATATCTTGCAAACTCCTGAAGTAATATATTATATCAATTCGAAGTCCTGTTTTCTTTTTTTTTCTTTAAAGAATTCTATAGGATGCATCTTATCAGAAACATTTTTCATAGCATCATCTCATATTATCACGTAGAAAAAACAACCATGTTTTATTGTAATACCATGTTTATCAGCCATCCTTGTTATATAAGATATCACTATCTTGTTTCCTGTTTTAGTTTCGTCTCCTAATTTTTTTCTCGTATCATAATTGAAGAAATCACATTGTTTAACTCGTTTGTTAGTATTTATTTTATATTGCACAGTAAGCTTGAATAAATCTATGGAAAGATTTTCATCATCAATATATTTTGTTATTATCTGTGTTATTCTTTCTTTTAATGTTTGATCATTAACAATAATCTGATTATTCTCATATTCTAATAATGACTAAATCATTTCTTCAGCTATCATTTTGTAAAAAATGGGTATGTTTCTTTTTACAATTTTTAATCCTTTAATTAAAAGTTTAGATTTATCAAACTCAACATAATCTTTATGCACGATTCCTTCATATTGTTTTTTATGTAAAAAATATGCAAGCATCATGGTCTTTTCGTATTTCATCTTTAAATATTTTTGATTTGTTGTCTTATATAAATATTTATTAATTTCATTTTGGAGAATTTTTGCTTGCGATATCGTTAATTTGATCATCTCAAACCAATATAGTTGTTTTAATTTCTGTCATATCAATTCTGATAGTTTATTTTTTTTTAAAAAAATTTTATATTTTTCATCTAAATATATGAAAAATTCTTCTTCTAACGCAAAGAAAAATGAATCTGTATCACCGTAAAATAAAAAATATCCTTTTTTTAAAGCTTTTTTTATTACTTCTTCAAGGGTCTCTCTAGCTGTAGCTATTACTGATGACGTGACTTCTGATAAATAAAATGGTGAGAATCTATCCCTTAATATGTAGACCAACGCAGGCAAATTTGTCTGCGTTTTTGCACTTTTTTAGCTCTGATTTACTTTT